CAAGATTTCTCAAGAAAGAAACCCATAATATCCCACCAGGCCCGTAATTTTTAAAAGGACCATGGGCGTTTTCTTCAGGCCCATAGTCAACTTCAATATACCCAACCAGGTCTTGTCCAAACAAGACTAGACGACATCAGCCCAAAGAAGCTTAAAAGGACCACGCTGAGGTTCTGCACAAAACACCGAAACCCTAGTTGCTGCTTACTGTTTAATTTTGTCCAGAGAAGAGACTGGATCTCACCATTCAAAACAGCTCCATGTCACCTAAAGCACACAGTAAATTCGGGGGGCTGGATGGCTGCTAGAGGTGGCGTGGCATTTCATGCTGCCAAAGTTAGCAAATTGATGGGCCTTTGCTTGCTTCTCACCTAGTTTCTAAAAATATGCGGAGTCTTGCATTCAAAGCTACAAGTCCATCCTCGAGGCATGCACCTTCGACTTTTCTATCTAGAAAGCAGCCCTGCACTGCACTATCTAGACCGAAAGAAGCACAAAAATTAAAACAATACCCCCAATCCAATGATCAATTTGCAAACAATATATATTTCAAAAAAAGAAAGAAGAAGAAGCTAAATTTGGGATATTTGATGGTGTTTTACCCCCAATCCATGAAAAATAGTATGCATCAATTAAAAAATAAACAGTGTTTATATGTTACCCCCAATCCAATGATCAATTTGAAAAATAGCATGCACCAATTAAAAAATAAACAGTGTTTATATGTTAATTTATCAAAAAAAAAACAACATAACCATTAGATTTTGGGTGAACATTATATATTATAAACATCAGTATAGCGTTGGTTGTAAGTTGATGGGTTTGGACCTCTAACCTTTCTCTCTAGAAGAATAATAAACCTGTAATCCTATTTATTGCAAATAATAAAAAGACAGATTACTCGTAGCAACTTAATTAGTTTGTGATTAAAATGTGATAAATTATTTTCGTTAGTGGGATACCAAAGAGAGGTTAGATGAGCTGTTACCCACCCTATAAAATCCTTAGCTTTCACAAAACAAAATCTCCCACTACAAACATCCATGAAAAGCATCCTTCAACCATAAATATTGATAGTGCTTAGGCTAACGTCCCCTTTCATGTATCCATCGTCTACCCACCGCGTCCTTATATTTCAACTCCGTCAGCCGCCGCCTCTTCTCGAAGGTTTCTCTTCTGTAGACACATGAAAAATGACAATAACATAAGTAACTTCGTAGTTACATGAATAATCATTATAAAAAAATAAATAATGATTATACTGTAAATTTGAGTATTGATGTTTAGTCTATCACTAGTAAAATCATCTATGTTATGTTGTAAATTCATTTTTTATTTTTATAAAAAAATACTATAAAAATTATATCTTGATACAAGACATATTAACCTTAGGTCTTGGCATATCACCCAAAAAAAATTGAATCCTAGCACAACATCCATTAGCTTTAGATGCAGACACTAGATCAAAGAAAATTGAATCTTTATATAAGACTCATTAGTCTTAGTCTTGGGTCAAATAGGGCTTCAAGACCCATGGCATTTGGGCCTTTGGGCCTTGAAGACTGAACTAAAGAATTTGGATCCTAACATAGGACCGATAAGAATTAAATCCTTATATAGAAAATATAAAATTAGGTTAGGTAGGGCTGCAAAACCCAAAGGATTTGTGTTTGTGCTCATGTCACACCCAAGCAACTTGAGTGAGGAACCCCTTTCTAGGCCCAAATCTTTTTAGTCTAAAAAGAGATGTCTAACCTAAATTCTTATATTTTCAATCCATTCAAATTAAATTTATGGGTTTTTTAATAACAATAATATTTTTTTAAAAAATTTATTGATAATGATGATAATTTTTATTTTTACCTTTAAAATGAAATCTATTTTTGTTTTTCAATATTAATAATATTTTTTTTCAAATTTAATAAGTATTATATTTGAATAATATTAATTATAATATTTATAATACAAATAATAGTATTTTTAATATTAATAATATTAATTATAACAATAATAATAATATTTATAAGATAAATAATAATATTTGTTATATCAATACTTTTAATTGTAAGACAAATAACAATAACAATATTTAAAAATCTAAGATCTAAGAACTTTGGGTTTTGACACTGGACCCAAGAGAATTAGGTCTTGACATAGGACCTAAAGCACAACTTTGTAAACCTTAGACCTTCAGGTTTGCAGTCCCTAGATGGCGAGTCTTCAGACTTGTTTGCTTGGGTCTGCAGCTAGGCGCGCATGTCTAGCTCTAAAACCTAAGGCTTGGTAGCCCTAGAGCTAGGTATCTGTTGCTTGAGGTTGTGGCCAGGTGCACGAGTCTGGTCCTAGCACCTAGAGCTTGGGAGCCCAACGCCAGGTGTTTGCTGTTTGGGGTCTGCGGCCCCACCTAAATCCGAACTATTTTCTCTCCAATAAAAAAGACAACCCACTCCTTGTAGTCTTTGTAGCTCTCTCTCTATAGCAAGAGTAGCTCTGTAATTACACCACTTCAATCTACAATGCTTTTAACAAAGTGCAAACACAAACAATGAAATCATTCATAATCTACAATAATATACAGTACTTCATTAATCCTCTAAATAATGCAATCTATAGTGAAAGCACTCATAATTTATAGTAATTCGAAATAGTATAATTTATAGTCTATAATAATTCACTATACAGTAAAAGTTAATCCCTATTAGTTATGTTTAATAATAATGCATGCTAAACACAAAGATATTTTCAAGAAAAGTTGAGAGATCATACAAATTTAAATCTATAAGCATGTCAAATAATAATTCATGACAAACATGTTTTCAATACAAATATAATAATAAAATATAGCATGCATATCAAGTATATATTCAAATTTAAATTTCTAACATGCTTATTAATAATAAAAATATATGTGCTTAAATTAAAATAAACAAGGGCACTTAATTGTGGAGACACTTTAAAGTAATGAGATTTTTGTTGATATCAATGATTAATCATTTATCCTTTAAGGTTTTATTATTCCTAATTTGTGCAACTAGAATATTTATAATATACCTCACAAGATTTCAAAAATATCACCTTGATTTAGATACACTTTTACATAAGATTTTTGAACTAGAAAATATAAAACTCAAATATATTTCAAATTTAGGAGGAAAACCAAAACTTAAAATGAGATGAAAATACTAAAGTATGAAGTTAAGTGTAAAAATCTAGAAAATCTAAATCGAAAGCTCTTTCTTTACACCCCCATTTAATTTCAAAAGCTAAAAGGTTGAAGAATTAATAAAAGTTAATTATAACCATTATTAACATTTAATTAGCCACTGTAATCAATAGTTCACTCTAGAAGAATCAAGGATTTATTAAACCAATAAATCCATTATTATGATTTCAAGACTTGAATTGTGAAATCATGATAATAAATTATAAAGTCTAATTCTCAATCAATATAATATTGAATGATAAAATTAAAAAAAAAATATTCAATTAAAAAAAGATAAAAAAAACTCAAGTAAACTTGCTAAATCCACAATTCGAATCACAAACCCCACTAGTTAAATATTGGTTTATAGAGTCGCACTACACTGCAACTGAAAATAAAAAAAACTCATGAAAGAAAATACTCAAGTCATATAAAATTATTTGATATTATTATTAAACCTGATCTAATAAGTTAACTTTGAAGCTTTCCAACTCAATTTTTTACCTAACTCGAGTTTAAAATTAAATAATATAGAACTTATCTTGAAATGGTCCAATTGACTTATTCGTACAAAGACAACCCAAAAGGGAAGTAAAGTGTGGCTTGTTAGTTAACCTGTCAAGTTTGTGATCCAGGTGAAAGACTCTAGTGGGTTTAAGAGTTTTGTTTTTTTTTTTTTTAACTATTTTTACTTAATTACATGATAAAAAAAATATTTGTAAAATTAAACACAAATCAAATATCATAATATTTGTTTAAAAACAATAACTTTATAAAAAATAAATCAAAATAATTACAAAAATAAATAAATATTGAAAGATAAAATTAAAAATAAAATGATGGAAAAAAGTAAGAAAAAAGATGCAAATATAATAATAATAATAATAATAATAATAATAAATGTTATTTTTTAATTTATTATTCATATGAACAGTAAATTATGTGAGTTGGCAATTATATTTACAATTATAACATCAATCGAATAGAAATGATACTAGAGTTTCATTGGAGCCAAGCAACCCTTAAAACGAGGGAGTCCATGGAGTAATGTCATCTATAATTTTCTTAGCAGTATTCAAATTCAGACTCAGCTTCGTGACTCCAATCAATCATGGCAGAACATATTTAACTATAACCTTGAGAAAGCAGGAAACTCTAGCCTCTTTAATTCCATCAAATTTTGCAATAATCTAGTATATAGAATCCCATTTATCAAAAAAGGAAAAGAAAGAAAAATAAAGAATCCCCATCGTGGAGCCTCTCTTATACTTACCCGCCAATCAAATGCTTAAATTTAGTTGCAAATCGTAAGTAGATACAGGAATTAATCACTGTAATGACGCGAGGCTCGTTAGAACATAAGCTCTTAAGTAATAATTAAGTTAAAGGGAGTTATGTTTCGGTCGCTGCCCACTTCATTTCCTTTGACTTGAACGAGGTGGAAAATCTAAGACTTTATGGTTATGTTAGATGCGATCGGGTGTACTTTACCCAATACGGTTGGACCAAACCGGCCAGTTGCTGACCACCTAGTCAAATGAAACATAGCATCAAGGGGATCACCTAGCTAGCTTCAAGTGATGTCTTATTAGTTGATGGATAACTGCTTTGTGTGATACACAAGAAAACAATATTGGAATTTCTTGTTTTTTTTTTTGACGAATGTGGTTCTGGTTATTTCTACTCAGGGCTTGCTTGCCCCTCGAGTACTCCTGCGTCTACCTAACTGTCTAAAACGACCTGACAGCAAATGAGTATATTAATATTGCCTTTGCCTTATAAGGTGACATAGGTCAGGCATTGCTTTGTGCACCAACACAAAAAGAAGAAGAAAGATATTTCTCTCTGTCTTTGTTTGCATAGAGAGGGAGTGAGACTAGGAAGAGTTAGTGGATATGGAAATCGCACTATGGATTCGGGTTCTAGTTCTCGTGGCTTGTCTGTTTCCGGCATCTGTGGAGTCCATGGTCCGGCACTACAAGTTCAATGTAAGTTGTAATGGTACCAAGTACTATATTCCTGGCCTAGCTAGCAACGTGTTTCCATGATTAGTTTCCCCTCAATCTAGTTAGTAAAATCAATATTGCACTATGCTCATCATTCTGTCATTAAGAACCCAGGTCCTATGTGCACGATCCTTTTTCTCCCGATCAAGGTATAATGCGAGCCTCTTGGTTGTAAACGGCTAATACAAAACTTTACGTCACGTGACCTTGAAATGACAGTGTTTTGTCTGGAAATTCCCATGCATATGTATGCCTTGTTTTGAAGGTCGTATGTAGACATACGATCAGAAGTTCCATACGAGGATATATGCATGAAAACGCAATGTCCCTGGTTCTTTCTGCATATCTTATTTCAGTCTTCTGAAACTCTGATGAAGCTTGTCATAAATAATTAAGATAATTAAGCTTCCATCTGTTCTTGTTTCGAGGGTTTCTAGCTGGCCAGGAAGCTCTTGCATGCATGAGCTTCACCTTCAAGCTATGATAGGCAAAGTTTAAATAATACGATTGCTTGGTGAAGTGACTATTTTTATAGAGAAAATTTAAAATTTAAGATCAATTAGCGCTTAATTATGGCAGAAGCTTAGCTGGTTTCTCAATATTACCATCCTTTTGGGTTGCACATCTTAATCATATATATTCTATTTTAGCGAGCGAAACTGCATTGCATTCTGCATGCAATGGACCACCTCGAATTATCGTGTCTCATACTTTCTTTTCATGCTTTCATTTCTTGATGTTTTGTATCAAATTAAAGATTTCAAGTCAAATGACTGAGAAAACACTTCAGAGATTTTTCACATATATATACCTTTGTCTAGTTTTTAAAAACACAACTTGTGTAGCTCAAAATTTTTATATAATGGACCACCTCCGCGCACGTATAATTTCAATGCATGCATAACTATAAGTTGAGTGAGTTATGAAAAAAATCACGAAGTTGTTCTTTCTTAATGCATAAGTGATCAATATCCAAATACAAATTTAATTGGTAAAATATAAAAAACCTACCAAATCTTGATTATCAAACAGAAAAGTAATATTATTGTTGAGGGCAAGCCACCTAAATTAAGTTTCGTGACTGTAGCCCAATAGTTCAACCTTAAGATTGTTACTGTGTCGATGTCTTCTTGTTATATCTCATGACGGCTTTTTAATTTTCATGAAGGTGGTAATGAAAAATAGCACAAAACTGTGTTCAACAAAGCCCATTGTCACTGTGAATGGGCAGTTCCCAGGGCCTACTTTAGTTGCCAGAGAAGATGACACTGTGCTTGTGAAGGTGGTAAACCATGTCAAATACAATGTCAGCATCCATTGGTGAGTCTGCTGTGAATTACAGATTTTACTAAATTTTCACGTCGTCCGTTAATTTTTGGCCTGATTAAGATCATACTTCAAGATCCAAGGCATTTGAGCTTTAAAGACTAAACCAAAGAATTTGGATCCTAATATAGGACCCATGAAAATTAGATATTTATATAAAAAATATAAAATTAGGTTAGACAGAACTACAAGACTCAAAAGATTTGGGTTTGTGTTCATGTCACACCCAAGCAACTTGGGTATGGGGCCCCTTTCCAGCTCCAAATTTTTTTAGTTTGAAAGGGGATGTCTAACCTAAATTCTTATATTTTCCATCCATTCAAATTAAATTTATGGTTTTTTTAATAACAATATATATTTTTTTAAATTTATTGATGATGATGATAATGATGATAATTTTTAATTTTACCTTTAAAATGAAATCTATTTTTGTTTTTCAATATTAATAATATTAATTATAAAAAAATAATATTTATAAGACAAATAATAATATTTTTTACATTAATACGTTTAATTATAACATAAATAACAATAACAATAACAATAACAATAACAATATTTAGAAACCTAAGATCTAAGAACTTTGGGTTCTGACATTGGTCTTAAAGGAATTGAGTTTTGATGTTAGACCCAAAGCGCGGTTTTGTAAACCCTAGACCTTTAAGTCTGCATTCCCCAAGCGGCGGGTCTTCAGACTTGTTCGCTTGGGTATGTAGCTAGGTGCGCGTGTCTAACCCTAGAGCTTAAGACTTGGTAGCCCTAGTGCTAGGTGTCTGTTGCTTGGGGTTGTGGCCAGGTGCGCAAGTCTAGTCCTAGCGCTTAGGACTTGGGAGCCCAACGCCAGGTGTCTGTCGTCTGGGGCCTGCAGTCTCACTTAAATCCGAACTAACTATTTTCTACTCAACAAAAAAGACAACCCACCCCCCGCAGTCTTTGTAATTCTTTATAGCAAGAGCAGTTATATCATTACACCACTTCAATCCGCAATACTTTTAACAAAGTACAAACCTAAATAGTGAAATCACTTATAGTCTACATTAATATACAGTAATTCATTGATCCTCTAAATAGTGCAATTTACAGTAAAAGTACTCACAGTCTACAATAATTCGAAATAATGCAATTTATAATGAAATCATTTACAATCTATAATAATTAACTTTATAGTAAAACCTTGATCCCTATTAGTTATGTTTAATAATAATGCATGCTAAACACAAAGATATTTTCAAGAAAAGTCGAGAGATCATGCAAATGTAAATCTATAAGCATGTTAAATAATAATTCATGGCAAACATGCTTTCAATATAAATATAATAATAAAACATAGCATACATATCAAGTATATATTCAAACTCATAATTGTTATTAATTTAGGTTTTATTATTCCTAACTTGTGCAACTAGAATATTTATAATATACCTCACAAGATTTCAAAAATATCACCTTGATTTAGATACACTTTTACATAAGATTTTTGAACTAGAAAATATAAAACTCAAATATATTTCAAATTTAGGAGGAAAACCAAAACTTAAAATGAGATGAAAATACTAAAGCATGAGATTAAGTGTAAAAATCTAAAAAATCTAAGTCGAAAGCTCTTTCTTTACACCCCATTTAATTTCAAAAGCTAAAAGGTTAAAGAATTAATAAAATTTAATTATAACTATTATTAATATTTAATTAGCCATTATAATCAAGAGTTCAATCTAGAAGAACCAAGGATTTATTAAACCAATAAATCCATTATCATGATTTCACGACCTGAATCGTGAAATTATGATAACAAATTATGAAGTCTAATTCTTAATTAATATAATATTGAATGATAAAATTAAAAGAAAATATTCAATTAAAAAAAGAACTCAAGTAAACCTTCTAAATCCATAATTCAAGTCACAAACCCCACTAGTTAAATATTGATTTATAGAGTCACGCTACACCGTAACTCAAAATAAAAAAAATATCATGAAAGAAAATACTCAGATCATATAAAACTATTTAATATTATTATTAAATCTGATCTAATAAGCTAACTTTGAAGCTTCTTAGCTCAACTTCTTATCTAACTCGAGTTTAAAATTAAATAATATAGGACTTGTCTTGAAATGATCCAATCGACTTATCCGTACAAAGACAACCCAGAAGGGAAGTAAAATGTGGCTTGTTACTTAATTTGTCAAGTTTGTGATCCAGGTAAAAGACTCTAGTGGGTTTAAGAGCTTTATTTTTTTTTAAATTATTTTTACTTAATTATATAATAAAAAAAATATTTGTAAAATCAAGCACAAATCAACTATCATAATATTTGTTTAAAAACAATAATTTTATAAAAAATAAATCAAAATAATTATGAAAATAAGTCAATATTAAAAGATAAAATTAAAAATAAAATGATGGAAAAAGTAAGAAAAGGAAAAGAAATATATTTAGATACACTTTTACAATTATAACATCAATCGAATAGAAATGATACTAGAGTTTCATTGGAGCCAAGCAACCCTTAAAACGAGGGAGTCCATGGAGTAATGTCATCTATAATTTTCTTAGCAGTATTCAAATTCAGACTCAGCTTCGTGACTCCAATCAATCATGGCAGAACATATTTAACTATAACCTTGAGAAAGCAGGAAACTCTAGCCTCTTTAATTCCATCAAATTTTGCAATAATCTAGTATATAGAATCCCATTTATCAAAAAAGGAAAAGAAAGAAAAATAAAGAATCCCCATCGTGGAGCCTCTCTTATACTTACCCGCCAATCAAATGCTTTAATTTAGTTGCAAATCGGAAGTAGATACAGGAATTAATCACTGTAATGACGCGAGGCTCGTTAGAACATAAGCTCTTAAGTAATAATTAAGTTAAAGGGAGTTATGTTTCGGTCGCTGCCCACTTCATTTCCTTTGACTTGAACGAGGTGGAAAATCTAAGACTTTATGGTTATGTTAGATGCGATCGGGTGTACTTTACCCAATACGGTTGGACCAAACCGGCCAGTTGCTGACCACCTAGTCAAATGAAACATAGCATCAAGGGGATCTGCCTGGCCTAGCTAGCAACGTGTTTCCATGATTAGTTTCCCCTCAATCTAGTTAGTAAAATCAATATTGCACTATGCTCATCATTCTGTCATTAAGAACCCAGGTCCTATGTGCACGATCCTCATTCTTCCGAGCAAGGTATAATGCGAGCCTCTTGGTTATAAACGGCTAATACAACACTTTACGTCACGTGACCATGAAATGACAGTGTTTTGTCTGGCGGCACTACAAGTTCAATGTAAGTTGTAATGGTACCAAGTACTATATTCCTGGCCTAGCTAGCAACGTGTCTCCATGATTAGTTTCTCCTCAATCTAGTTAATCAAATCAATATTGCACTAAGCTCATCATTCTGTCATTAAGAACCCAGGTCCTATGTGCACGATCCTTTTTCTTCCGATCAAGGTATAATGCGAGCCTCTTGGTTGTAAACGGCTAATACAAAACTTTACGTCACGTGACCTTGAAATGACAGTGTTTTGTCTGGAAATTCCCATGCATATGTATGCCTTGTTTTGAAGGTCGTATGTAGACATACGATCAGAAGTTCCATACGAGGATATATGCATGAAAACGCAATGTCCCTGGTTCTTTCTGCATATCTTATTTCAGTCTTCTGAAACTCTGATGAAGCTTGTCATAAATAATTAAGATAATTAAGCTTCCATCTGTTCTTGTTTCGAGGGTTTCTAGCTGGCCAGGAAGCTCTTGCATGCATGAGCTTCACCTTCAAGCTATGATAGGCAAAGTTTAAATAATACGATTGCTTGGTGAAGTGACTATTTTTATAGAGAAAATTTAAAATTTAAGATCAATTAGCGCTTAATTATGGCAGAAGCTTAGTTGGTTTCTCAATATTACCATCCTTTTGGGTTGCACATCTTAATCATAAATATTCTATTTTAGCGAGCGAAACAGCATTGCATTCTGCATGCAATGCAGTTTTTTTCCCTTTTTCTTGGCTATGATATTAACGCAGTTGGCATTTCCACTTCGAATTATCGTGTCTCATACTTTCTTTTCATGCTTTCATTTCTTGATGTTTTGTATCAAATTAAAGATTTCAAGTCAAATGACTGAGAAAACACTTCAGAGATTTTTCACACATATATACCTTTGTCTAGTTTTTAAAAACACAACTTGTGTAGCTCAAAATTTTTATATAATGGACCACCTCCGCGCACGTATAATTTCAATGCATGCATACCTTTAAGTTGAGTGAGTTATGAAAAAAATCACGAAGTTGTTCTTTCTTAATGCATAAGTGATCAATATCCAAATACAAATTTAATTGGTAAAATATAAAAAACCTACCAAATCTTGATTATCAAACAGAAAAGTAATATTATTGTTGAGGGCAAGCCACCTAAATTAAGTTTCGTGACTGTAGCCCAATAGTTCAACCTTAAGATTGTTACTGTGTCGATGTCTTCTTGTTATATCTCATGACGGCTTTTTAATTTTCATGAAGGTGGTAATGAAAAATAGCACAAAACTGTGTTCAACAAAGCCCATTGTCACTGTGAATGGGCAGTTCCCAGGGCCTACTTTAGTTGCCAGAGAAGATGACACTGTGCTTGTGAAGGTGGTAAACCATGTCAAATACAATGTCAGCATCCATTGGTGAGTCTACTGTGAATTACAGATTTTACTAAATTTTCACGTCGCCCGTTAATTTTTGTCCTGATTAAGATCATTATGCTATTTACAAATTCTGATCAGGCATGGCATTAGACAACTGCGGACCGGTTGGGCCGATGGCCCTGCATACATAACGCAGTGTCCTATTCAGCCAGGGCAGAGCTATGTGTACAATTTCACCATTACTGGTCAGAGGGGCACTCTATTCTGGCATGCACATATCCTCTGGCTCAGGGCCACTGTCCATGGTGCTATTGTCATCTTGCCCAAGCGAGGTGTTCCTTACCCATTTCCTACACCACGCAAGGAAAAAGTCATTGTATTAGGTGAGTCTAGCTCAACTTAACGCCTTTAAAACTTGAGCTAGTTGAAGGCTGACTTGGTGAAACTAAGTTTCATGAGTGCATTGAATGCCTACAAGAAATTATTGTGTTGCTTGTGCTTTACAATTGATCCATATATCAAGTAATTATTAGTTGACAATTATGTATTAGTGTAGAGTAATCATTGGTCAGCAATCAATCCAATTTTTCCAATTGTAGGTGAATGGTGGAAATCAGATGTTGAAGCTGTGATCAACGAGGCGACGAAATCCGGGATGGCACCTAATGTCTCGGACGCTCACACAATCAACGGCCATCCAGGGCCTGTCTCAGCCTGCTCTTCACACGGTAAAAATTAAAACAACTATTACAACAAAACAAGCTGTTACATTCTGACAATAGCTAGTTTATTGCATTGGTTATCTTTCACAATCATTCTATCGATTGCAGGAGGGTATAATTTAACAGTACATCCCGGAAAGACTTACATGTTTCGGATCATTAACGCTGCACTAAATGAAGAACTCTTCTTTAAGATTGCTGGCCATCAACTCACTGTTGTAGAGGTTGATGCCGCATACGTAAAACCCTTCAAAATCGACACTGTTGTCATAGCCCCGGGCCAAACCACAAACGTTCTTCTGACCGCAAACCGTGGTTCTGGCAAGTACTTGGTTGCAGCCTCACCTTTCATGGACGCACCCATTGCGGTTGATAACGTAACTGCCACAGCCATCTTACATTACTCTGGCACCCTTGCTAGTACCATCACTACCCTCACCGTACCTCCTGCCAAAAACGCCACTCCGGTAGCAACAAACTTTACGAATGCTCTACGTAGCTTGAATTCGATAAAATATCCTGCTAGAGTCCCATTAAAGATTGATCGTTCTCTTTTCTTCACCGTTGGCCTTGGTGTTAATCCTTGTGCTACTTGTATCAATGGAAGCCGAGTTGTGGCAGATATCAATAACGTTACATTTGTGATGCCAACAATTGCTCTCCTTCAAGCTCACGTCTTCAACATTAGCGGTGTTTTCACAGATGATTTCCCTGCCAACCCGCCCACGCCATTCAACTATACAGGCACACAACCAACGAACTTTCAGACAGTGAATGGAACAAAACTTTATAGACTTGCTTATAACAACACCGTCCAGCTAGTTCTGCAAGATACAGGAATGCTTACTCCTGAAAACCACCCAATCCATTTGCATGGCTTCAATTTCTTTGAAGTTGGAAGGGGAGTAGGTAATTTCGATCCAAATAAGGACCCAAAGAAATTCAATCTTGTTGACCCAGTGGAGAGGAACACAATTGGGGTCCCAGCTGGTGGATGGACCGCTATAAGATTCATAGCAGATAATCCAGGTAATCAAACATTTCTGCTATAAATAAATCAGTACTCCCTCTTTTTTTCCATTCTGAAACGTTTTTCCCCCTTTTTTTGATGTAGGGGTTTGGTTCATGCATTGCCATTTGGAGGTACACACAACATGGGGGCTTAAGATGGCATTTGTTGTAGACAATGGCAAAGGCCCAAATGAATCTGTTTTACCACCGCCTCCTGATCTGCCAAAGTGCTAGAGAAAACAATGCAAGGATTCTCTTCTGTAAACTGTATAGACAGGAGAGGAAAATTGCAAGTCAGATTGAGCAGAGGAAACAACGGAAGGATCATAGGGAGAGACTGCTGAATGGTTTAGAACTAATAAGAAAGAGTTCTTTCGAGGCTGGCTAAAATCAATGAGTTGTTGCTCGGGAATTTTAAATAAAATCACACTGAAACTTTCCTTCCCTTTATTATTATTATTATTTTTGGTTTCTTGGGGGGGGGGGGGGGGGGGAATAAAATCACACTGAAACTTTCCTTCCTTTTATTATTATTATTTTTTTTGTTTTCTTGGGGGGGTTGGTTTTTCACTGTAATTTGCTATTTGTATATTCAGCCATGTAATTATGGAATATGCTGTAATTAATTAAAAAATCCCGAAGGATATTGAGAATTCTTTAAATATTTTACATGAATTTCTCATGACTTGGCATGGCGGCATGGCAACAACAATCCCTCGTCATATATTCGATGCTTTCCATTTAAGTCGTCTCGAGAGAATTTTCCTTCGGATATCCACAAATATAAAGAGGAACACTCGAGTATTGGAAAGAATTTCGAAGGAACAAAGGTGGGCTATGAGAAACAATCTCTCGAAGATCCATTTTAGGCCCGAGGCCACTTGTGTGTATTTTCTCATTTCGCTAGCCACGAGACCACCGAGAGTTGGAGAATACTACTCATAACATAACGATGTTGGATTATTAAACGTAGGTAAAGCTAGAAGTTGCTCATAATTTTATATAGCAAAATCGGAAGTGGGCTGCTGATAGTTTAATGGGCTGTGCTTTTATTCTATTTTTGGTCTGCCTTTCTATTTAATGGGCTGTGCCTGTACTCTTTCTTTCCAGTCATTACCAGCACTAGTCTGAAATTAAATACTAAGTGGGCTGCCATCAAATGATATGATAATAAAAGATTATTATATCATCATATGTGTGTGTGTGTATATCATGAATATATTGATATATTTATGTTAACGTCAGTTATCATCCTTGATATAAAACACAAAAACATATATTCAACTCAAACAAAACCTTTTTTTTAAAAAAAAATCAAGAATATTTTGAAAAAGCTTCTGCAAGCAGAATGCCAGAGAGTTGTTGGCCGCGAAAACTAGCCAAGAGTTGGAGCACGCACCTGGAAGGAGGAGCAGCCTCGAATCTCAATCACGTTGGCTTAAACTTTTTGACTTTTATGAAAGAGCCCATAAAGGGAATCTTTCCTTTAATGGAAAAATATCGATTGGGGTGCATAACCTTTCCAATTATTGAGACACTGCTATGAATTTTTTAAGCAACAGCAGTCAGATTCCAACCATCCCGCTTGGCCTACCCCTACCCCTACCCCTACCCTTGTGTCAAGGGTCACCACCCCAAGTCCAAAGGGAACTCCGAATGGATGCTTCTATACATCAAGAGACATATTCTCTATGAAGTAAATAAAGCATATTGTAGAGAAGGGATAAAAGATAGCCCTTGAGTAATTGTTTTTAAAAACGGGAAAAAAAAACTTCAGGACACGGGAGTTCTTTTTATTAAAAAAATAGCACAATGCCAACACTATCATAGTTGTATATTTATTTTTAAAATACCATAATTTCATAAGATGCACAAATCACACATGCACAACCACGAGATGCTCTAGGGACACTTGCGCAATCTCAAGATGGGCGGGTGAGAGAAAGAGAGAGAGAGGAGTTCTGCCCAGATGGAAGGAAAGAGGGCTTTCACGGCGGAGAGAAAGATCGAGAGAGGGAGGGTGAGGTTGAGGGCGGCACGGGGTTCCAGGAGGAGAGAAAAAAAAAAAGAAAATGAAAAAAATGAAAAAATCTACTAATTTTAATTTAATTGGACGTGAAGGTCGCACTTAAGCATCTTAGTAGGCTGCACATGCATGACTTGCGCGTTTTATAAAACTTTATTGTTTTAAAAAATAAGTTTATAGCTGTGATAATTTAGATACATTTTTTAAACATTATATTATTTTTTTTAAAAAAAAAACTCTAAGATACGTAAAGGCATATCAAGCAGAAGCTGCTATTTTCAAATATGAAATACGTTTTTCTACTTAATTAATAAGAATATATAATATTTTTTGAGATTGAAGATATTTGTTTTTTTCTCGAAGATATTTGTTTTTTTCTTGAATTACTTTGATTCCATTTTCGTATAGTCTCTCTCTCTCTCTCTCTGTGTTAGTAAGAGGACAGGAGTGAAGAAGAAAGGGATATATAGAAAGAATAAAGAAGACAATATTGTCGTGTGGAACAGTGCACGAAGGAATATTAGATGAAGCTAAATTATTATTTTTGTAGTGTCTTTTGGCTGAAGGGCACATCCTGTCCATTTCGTGAATTTCTTCTATTAAGAGTTTAAATAGGAATTCATGAACCAAATACTGCTTTCATTGTCGTTAGATATTAAAAAAATAAATAAATAAATAACAATTGTATATAATTAAACAGCCAGCAATAACTGTTTAATTAACTTTTATTTATTTATTAATTTTTTACGTTGCCCATAATGCACTACCCAGAAACAACTTGAATATGTGACAAACGCAGCAATTTTGAAGACAGATTTCTTTCTAATAAAATTTTCAAGACATGCATCAATAAAGAATAACCTCATGCATGCGGCAACCATGTTCTATTGTTTAGTTTAATTAAAACCCTAATCTAGATCAAGTCAGCCCACCATACTTTGACCAAGTTTAATGTACATAGAGGCAGAAACATGTTAACTGGTTCCCATCATTCACTTTCCACTATGATTTTCCAGTGTGATGTGTTCGTATTAAACAGAGTTTTAATATTAATTCAACAACACAGCGGGATGCTGTCCGTAAATCATCACATCCTCTTAGCAAACAAAAATCTTATATCGTCCCAGAGTTTTAAATACAAAAAAATCTCACTCAGTACTATGTATAGAGTTAATCCTATGAATTTACGTATGATTGTGATTTAAAGAAGAGATTGCATTGTAATTAAATAACAAGAGCGTGCATGGTTGATAAACAAATGTATATAAATCATGCAAAATTCACAACAATTATATACACATTTCATTGTGCTGTGATAATTGTAATTAATACATGAATTTTATCCTTTTACTTATTTGATGATAAAAGTATTTTTAAATTAAATTACCACACAAATTACTCAAGATTAATTTTTTTTTATCTCCCAGCAATCTCTTACCTACCCCATGTCAATATGTTGTATTAAAAAGATTATTTGAATTAATTTTAAAATTCAAATTATATACAAATAAGAGAATAATCATTTACTTTTTATAGAAAGTTAACGGGCTATAACTCATTAGAGGTTGAGAGGGGTGTTTTAGTAGAAGTTTTTTAAAAATTAATTTTATTTAAAAAACAAATTTTTTATGTGTATTTTTGAATTGTTTTGATATATTAATTTTAAAAATATTTTTTTAATATACTTTTAAATACAAAATATTTTTATAAACAATTATTTTTATATTTCTGAACAGCTCCAGGCAAAAATTGAAAAGTCTGACATGAATCTCGAAAAACAAGGAAGAAAATAATGGATGTGTGCCCTTGGAATACTTCAAGCAGCTATTAATGGAGGGCATGTTGTCCCATTTAATGGGAGGTGCGAGATTCGAGGTACCCGCTAGAAAGATGATGGAAGCCGGAAGGGCTAGAAAGCATGCTACGTGTGCATAAAGCATCTTTTCAACTTGGGCCTCCCTTTATTTCTTACAAAGCCCATCATCACACGCACCTAAGGAGCAAAAATTCTGGCCAGTCCTGGGCTCTCGCCTCCAGGACAGATAAACTCAATCATTTGCGGTCCTCTATGATCAGAAAATAATGATTTTGTGGTCCTTTTGAATTTGTTTTTTTGGGTAATTATCCTTTTTTATTTAATGAACTCATTAATTTCCACACATGGCCAAGACAATGTTGAGATATTTTTATTCATATCGACGAAGTTGTCACTGGAGAATTTATTCAATTACTTGCATGCGAATTTAAATATCTGGAAATAAAATTGAAATTATTTTCATGGAACTGCCTAAAATTATTAGCTGGCGGACGTTTTATCAAACAAATTAATTAATAAGGAGAATAAAAAAAATGAATTTTAAAAATATTATTTTTATTTGGAAAAAAAGCCCAAATAGTATTATAAAATTGACACACACGTGCGTAGAGTACCCAACAAAATTTATTTTCTAACAACTTGCCAACCTGTGTTCCTTGATATATTTGATATATGTATACACACAACTAAATATAAAAAAATAATTATAATTTTTTTTTAACGAAATCAAATAATAAAAAAAGCAGATTAATGTTTTATATATAGAAGAAAAATAAACAATGATTATTTAAGGTTGATATAATTTTCTTAATCTTTAATGAAGCATAATTTGCTAATAATAATAATTAAGTAAACATCTTTCATGCTGTATGGATATGTCTATTAATTTCAGTTCTCTGTGATTGGTGTCGAGGATCATAGTTATTGAATTGTCGGTCACTCGTGGAAAGATCAAACAGTGATTGAAGAATGTAGGGACTAAATTAATATCCAAGACAAAAATAAAATAAAATAAATAAATAAAATAAAATGATTGATTAATGAAGCCCCTCCTCTCTATATATATATATATATATATATATATATATATATATATTGGTCTGGGCCTTGATTCAGGTCCACTTCTAGCCGACTGAGCTCTGAACTCTGGGCTCCATGCATGTGGCAACGCGTGAAATACAGCCGAAAAGCTTGTAAATGGAAAGACACAAGTAAAAGACAAAAAAATAAAAATAAAAATAAGGTTTTCTCTCTCTTATTTTTACAGCTCATAGAGAAGTTATATTTTTAAATTTGCGCACACCACAATTAAATTGAAAAGAAAACTACATTGAAGAGACCAGGTAATGATCCTATACTAGAGAGTTATTAGTATGTATTGGTTAAAAGTATGTTCAACATATTTATTAATATTAAATATATTAAAATATAATTGGTTTTTCTAAATATTTTTTTTACAATAAAGTGCATATAAGCAAAAAAAAACTATATTTATATTATTGAAAAAACTATATTACTAATTCGGCTCTTCTAAATAACATATCTTCTTGGAGATGGTTTGAACAAGAAAGGTTCCTCGTGGTGCTTAACGACACAAGTAGTTGGTTAACCTGTGAGATTGAGGCAAGAGGTTGCAGGTTTAAGCATTGAGGCGTGCAATATTTTCTTTCATGTGAAAAATAAATGCCATAATTTTTTTTAAAAAAAGGGTTATGGAGAAAACAAATGTAGGTCCAGCGTGAACTTGTTGCTATGCTAGCCTTTTGTGGTGGCATTCTTAAAAAAATAACAAATTCACTTTTTTTTTTTTTGCAGTTTTGACATGATTTTTAAGTATTATTATAAATATTTATTTGGTTTTAATATTTTTTTCAATTATTTTGTACATGATATAAAAATAATAATACCAATAATAAATTGTTAATGAAAAAATGATTCAATTTTTTTTTATTCTTAAAATTCTTAAATAGATTTTGAATGTGATTTTTACCCATTTATGTTTTTTTTTTAACTTTCAATCTCATACATAATATCAGCATGCTATTTGATATTTTTTTATTGACTTATTTTAACAATCATAATTTTTTTTAGTAGAAACAATGATTATAGTTAAAAACTTTGTGTTTAGTAAGATAAACAAAACACACATTAATAAGAAAAAAATATTTTGATAAAAAAACCAAACCAACTATATTTTTTGTTTTATAAAAATATCAAATAATTCTTTAATACCTAAATTCTTTTTGTGTTTACAAGAATTCTAATTCCTCTTTATAATAGCATGAGTATATAAACTAGTATTATCTAAAATAAATTTCATGAGACATCATATGCATGTTTGGTATCATAATAGTTTATCCGGTTAAGACTTGAAAAAATAGATTTGAAAAATCCTACAAATTATATTTTTTTGTAACTAGTAACAAACATGCACTAATGTACACTATGTAAATTAGTATACAGCTGTTATAACAACCAAGTGTATAATTCTATTAAAAATTTTGTTAGTTTAAGATTAGACAGATTGATTCAATAAACAAGCTTTTATCATTCTTGCTCTTTATGGTATCTAATCTTATTTTTCTCTCATCTCACCATTTTTTTCCCTCCAAGCTTCCAATACCCATGAACACTATCATCCCTAACACAAATGAGAAAAGCTTATTTATTGAATCAATCAATCAGATATATAAATTGCTCACAAGACTTGACATAGCTTATGCGATAAATAAATTATCTCAGTTTATGCACAAACCAACAACTGACCACCGAGCATTTATAAAATGTATGCTTTGTTATCTTTGTGATACTCTTGATCTTGGTCTTCAACTTTACTGTGATTCTCCTCTTTCC